GGTGCTGGGCTCTATCCCCAGTACCAGAAAACAAACAACAAAACACCTTCAAGAACCAAAAAAAACAAAAACTCCAAGTGGTGAGAATGATGGAATCATGTATTTGAAGTGAGGGGGAGTACTATGAGACATGTTAACAGCAGTATGTCTTTTACTATAAGAATTTTTTTAATTAAATATTCACCATAGTTTTTCATCATCATTCATATATATACTTTGCAAACTAAGCTTTAATACAAAAACAAGAACTATATAGGCAGTCTTCTTGTCACCAAGAATGACAGGTAAAAATTAAAAAACATTTTCATGTATTTGTATTTATATATTCAGATACTTTAAAAGCAGACTTAGTTCACAACTTTTAAAAGTCTTAATAATCACCAGGCAGTTACTTCTCATAAGAACTTTAACTGCCTTTTGGGAAAAGCATGGGAAAGAAGGTTAGCAGAACGGAGTAAGACTGTACATCAAAGCAGCCTTATCACACGTTTCCACTATTAAGACTTTAGGCTAAAAAAATGTTTTCTTTTCTTTGCTTTTTTCTTTTTTCTTTTTTTTTTTTTTAAGTGTTACAGGGGATTGAACTCTGGATCTTTGCATTGAGCTATATTCCCATTACATTTTTTAGTATGAGACAGGGTCTTACTAAGTAACTATTACCCAGGCTGGGTTGAAACTTCCCATCCTGCAGCTTCAGCTTCCCAGAGTGCTGGGTTTACAAGCATACACTACTACACCTAACCTTGAAAAGTATTTGCTTGAAGGAGTGTACAAATGAAAAAACTTAAAGAGAATTTAATTTGGAAATGGAAATTATTTGAGCTTTTCTCTGTTAATATTGCTTTTACATTTTCTGAGTTTCTATAGTATTTAATCACTTTCATTCTTCCTAAAAATTTTAATACTATATTACATTAAATGGTCAAATGGATAAACAGATGAAAAGTTGTATACTTTCCAATAAATAAATTCAGGAAATGAAATATGTAGAAATTAGAACAGCTACAGGCTAAGTTATAATCATTGTAGGAAAGTAACACAAAAAATTCACAATTTAAAATTAAAAAGACTAAATTAATCCATTGAATATACTGTGACAAAAATTTCCTGACATATGCTTACCTATAAATATATGAAAATTACGCCACTTGACATTAGGGAAACAAACCTAAGAGTTTATAAGTGGAAATATAACTCCAAAAACCTGGGGAAGAAATCTTAGCTCCTGAAGGGTGATTCCAATAAGAATTTTACACACACACACACACACACACACACACACACACACACAAGAACCAGAGACTGCTCTGGGAATTAATTTATTTCTAAATTAAACTGATATTTATAATACACAGCACTCTTGGCTATGGGTAGGTTTGCAGGGCTTTAAAAAGTTATTAACAAACATAATTTGTATGTTACAAAAATAGGAACTAAAGTATACTTTTCAGGCAAAATCATACTTTCATACCATCTTTTTCAGAATCCAAACAGGTTCATTCTAACGCCTTGCCATACTTCTTTTTTGTTTGTTTTCTGACCATCATTTCATACAATGTATTTATACCAATAAAATCTGAATGATTACAGAGAATTGGACATTGTTCTGGACTCTCAGAATCCAAAGGTTTTTGTCATTAGATCTTTTAAAATATTACAAGAAAATACAATTTACAAAAAGTAACCTCTCCCATCTTGGAGAAACTAAATGATACAATTTGATGGAAAAAGAAACATAATATAGTATATTTAGCAATATACAAGCATTTAATCCAATTTCATGTGTGCATACAAAGTAGCAAAATGTGTAAGTGATTGAAGATAAAACAGATAATCTTAAAAGACATCTGATAAATAATTCTGTTTTAAACAAATTATCATAAACTGTGTTCTTATAGAATTAAAAGGAAAAGAATTAGAATGGTGATTTTTTTAAAGATTTCTTTGTTTAAGCCACTAACTCAAATACTGAAAACAAAACATTTAGAAATATGAAACAAAGCTGGGGATATAGTTCACGGGCACAAATGCCTGCCTGGCAAGAGCAAAATCCTGAGTTTGATTCCCAGTAACCCCCCCCCCCCAAGGTAGAAATATGAAACAAATGCTTTTGAATAATTTCATCTGTTATGTAAGTCATTATCACTTTTGGTAATGATTAACTATTCCTTCATATTATGGCTTGTGTCCGAATGTCCCCTCAAAGCCTCATGCAGTCATGGGGCAGCTTCTACAGTTTATGACTGATTCATGGTCCAATGCTGGGATTATGGTGTGAGTGCTACACCAGCCCTGGGACTGACAGTTTGCATACAATGTAAGGGAGGAAAAGATACTGCTTGCCACTGCTCCCCCATTTTGCTCTTGCTGTTTTTGCTGCTTTCCCCCCACCATGAACAGTTACCCTATGCCAGGTGCCACTCTGCCTTGGAGCCACCCAAGTATGGACTGCAACCTCCACAAACTGTGAGCTAAAATAAATGTTTCCTTCATTAATTTTGGGTGTTGGGTATTTTGTCTCAGCAACAAGAGAAAAGTAACCAAGACACTTCACTATAACACAATATTTGACAATATTCACAAAAAAATTTAAGTGTTATTGTCATTTCTCTGAATTTTTCATCTTCTTCTAGTTATTTAAGTAACACTACAAAAGTAATGATTTCTTATCACAGTGTTTTACAGCATACTTTAGTTTTCTTTCCCACTAACCTATTCTTGTATGTTAATGGTTTTGATAACTTAATTCTTATTTTTTTTTAAATTTCCTTTACACCAATAGTTTCCAAATTTGGTAGACATTAGAATTACCTAGTGAACTTTTAAAACTTCCTATTCTCTGGTCACATTTTACAAATTAATTAGAATGTCTGGAAGATGTGAGAAGGAGCCATTTATCCATAGTTTTTAAAGATGGGTAAGGAATGCTAATGTTCAGGAAAGTTTGGCAGCTACCAGCTTAAACTCTTAATAGTATTTCTATTGCATGTTTAGTGCATAGTACAATTCTTACTACTTTTCACCTAGGATCTGAGTCACCTGTCTTACAAGCCTGGCATGGTAGAGTCAATCTGACAGCTGGTCAATAAAGCTACCAATCACACCTTAATCTGTCTTATATTCCTTACAACCCCAATGGAGTCTAGGGTAATCAAGAACATTAATAGATGCTACAGTTTGGATCTAGAATTCCGCTCAAAGTCCAAAATGACTTGCTCCCCTAAGTGGTGTTATTGGGAGGTCTTGGGTCACTGGGAATATGCCCTCAAAATAGATACGGGTGCCTTAACCTACCATAAGGTTAGCATTCTGCTCCACAGGCTCCAAAATCAACAGAGCCAATAGATTATGAACTAGGACATCCAAAATTGTAAGCTAAAACATATCCATTGCCTAATGCGTTATCTCAGATATTTGTTATAAAAATAGAACATAACATTTCACAAACAACATAGATATATTTAAACTGACTTTGAAAAATTAAACGTGTATGTAACCTCATCTAAGTTAAAGTGAGGTTTCGCCACTAGATGGATTGAAAAATAAATCTTTTAAGGCAGGTGCAGTGGTGCATGCCTGTAATCCCAGCATTTGGGAGGCTGAGGCAGAAGGATCCCCATGAATTTTGAGGCCAGCCTGTGGTACACAGGGACTTCAAGGGAAGCCTGAACTATACAGAAAGACCTTCTCTAAAAAAAGCAAAAGAATCCTATGGCATTTCAGAGGCTTTTTGGATTATAAAACTGAAGACAAGGAATTGTGAGCATATTTTATACTTCGGTCACAATGTAAGGTTCTCCTCTAGCTCCTATGGAATGTAAACAAAATAGTTTGAAAGCCAGTAGGAGTATGTTTCTGTGAAAAACCACATCTAAAATATTTTTGGTCTGAGCTGCTAGAGTAAAGGTAAATACCTGATGAGAAAGACATAGATGTGTTGTCTGTATTGAAGCATTATTTTAACGTGAGTTAATCTAATCACCTGAATTTAATAATGACAAGGCTGAGCCCACCCCCTAAAAGCTGATCTAGAAAAAAGGCAATCTTCTGGTGTTGCAAGTCAAGAAAAAAAAAATGTACCAGAAAATAGAAATCTTAAATCAAAAGGCAGAATATTAAAAGTGGAATTAGTAGTGGCTTAATGCATGTAACTTCAGTTCACCAGAAGTACAATACAGAAATAAAACTGAAAATGTTTTAGCATTTACAATCACTATAGGGCCAGGGATATAGCTCAGTGGCACAAGCGCCTGCCTGGCAAGTGCAAGGTCCTCAGTTTGATTCCCGGTACCAAAAAAAAAACCCCCAAAACAAAAATACAATCAGTATAAAAGTACTTGAGACAACATTTCAGTGAATATAGGAAAGGTGATTATTATGTGAAAACAAAGTGAAGAAAACACATATTCTAAGTGAAAATTACAAGGTAGAAAGTCCCAAACACAAGCTTGTGGTCATGACTGGGGGTTGAGGTGTTTGAAAGCAGGGAAATTTCATATGAAATAATTCTGAGAAACTCTGGGTTAAAGATAACCAGGTTTTTCCTCCATTAAGATTTCTAAGAACTTTCAATAAGATAATGTGCTTTGTAATCACTAAGGCAGGTATTATGTAACCCTGCTTAGATTTCTTTGCCCTCCACATCTTTCTTTTTCTCCCAAGTATTTAATGGGACTAGCATTCCACAAAACAGATAAACATTGGAAATGCATTAATAAATTTGAGAATTTAAGTAAGTCTTCCACAATGAATGCCAACACTCAACTTCCACCTAGTACCATTTTCTTTGTCCTTATCAGTCATCAATCATTATTCAATGCTACCACCACACAATATAATCAAATCTCTGAAGACTATTAAGTTTGGATTTAGTAGCACCAACTTTTATAAAAAGAAGAAATAATCTTGTCTCATACTGAACACCAAATCAAAACAAAACTTGAAATTAACATATTAACCATTTAAAAGTAGGCAGTTTGACAAATATTGGAATGCTATACCTCATCAAATTCTTCAGTCATTTTTCTGATGATTTCTGCATTCTGCATATTTCGAAACATCTCTATTCTCACAGTACCTGTGAAACAACAGATTTTACAGTTAATCTTTATCTATCTCATGTTAAACATTAAGCTTAATCTGACCATTTTTTGAAAGTTGTATAAAGCCTTTTGGGTTCCACTCTCCTCCTCTAATTCTTACACCAACTATTCTAAAGAAAAAAAAAATGTTTTTTTGGACACAGGGTCTGGCCGTGTAGTTTAGATTAGCCTGGAACTCACTATATAGCCAAGGTTGGCCTGGAACTAGTGGGGAATCTTCTGCCTCAGCCTCCCAAGTGCTAGAATTACATGAACAAACTAACACACCTGGTGGAAATTCTTATTTAAAAACTTCAAAGGTCTCTAGGCTTTTCTAAACCCTAGAAATCCCATACATTAGATAAATATATAAAAGTATTGAGCAAAGAGTGTAAAACATTGAATTAACATTGTAAGGAAAGCCCTATAAATACTGATTTAAATATTTACTGAGGTTGTACAGATAGACAGCTAGGTGGCTTCGTTTTTCAAATCTCCAAGGATTTCTGTAATCTCACAGCACTTGGGAGGTTGAGGCAGGAGGATCAATACCTGTTCAAAGCCATCCTGGCCTCCATAGGAAGTGTGAACGACAGCCTGAGCCACATAGTGACGCTCTGTCTCAAAAATACAAAAAACAAAAACTTCCAAGGATAAAGTATGTATCTCCCTTATGGCTCCTTGTTATAGTCTTTATTATCAAAATGTTCTTCTGGAAATTTAAAGCAAAATGCACCTTAACCTAATAGAACATTTTTAAAGTCTGTTTTCCCTGAACATTGAAAGTTGCTATGTAAATTCTACGTAATTACACATCAATGACTAAAGAAAAAGCCCTTTTCTATTTCATCCTTTCACACTACTTTTTATCTCAAATTTTATTTTATCTCAAATACGGTTGTATAGATTTTATCATTATATTGATAAAAAAGAGTTGCTGAGATTGAAAGACTGAATTAGAAAATCAGTACAATTTAAAGAAACAGAAATAAAGTTCAAAGTCAACTGTAGGAACAGAGAATAGTGGCCTCATAATTAGGGTGCACTTTCAAATGTTTATTAAACACAACATCCTCAAGTCAAACAACTGCTAAGATTAAGACTCCAAGATCATTTTTAGAATGGTGAATATATTAAGTACCATGAATAGGTAATTCCCTATATCCAGGTATAGATGTGAGATGGTCTAGGACAGTAGTTGGGGGAAAAGAAAAAAATGTTTTATTTTGATGTGTTTTTTTAAGATTTTGTTTAAACATGCAACTTCTTGCAAAGCATGTGGCAGATGCCTCTAATCCTATCACTTGGGAGGCTGGGGCAGGAAGATCAGCATGTATTAAAGGCCAGCCTAAATTATACAGTGAGACCCTGTCTCAAAAAACCAAAACCGAACAAAGCAACCAGCCACACACACACAACCAAACATGTAACTTCTTAAAATGGAAAATTTTATATTGATTTTTACCTTATGGAAAAAACAGTACTGAAGGTTTTTTATGCATGACAATACAACTTTTGTCTTGCAAAGATTTTTTAAGAATAAATGGGAAATCTATATTCAATTACCATCACAAATAAAATTAACTTTCTGGCAAATACTCCTAAACAACTCACCCAAATGAAACAAAATTTAAATTTGGGCATTGAATTATTTTATTAAGTTGAAATAGATTCCCATAAATAGAAACATAATTTCCAGGAGTTGTTTTCTGGCACTAATACAGACAGTACAATTGGGGCTAAGAGACCACTCCCCCTCCACTCACCTGAATTTGGGCACTGCCCCAGAACAAACCCCCTCTGACCTTTGTTCTAAGTGAGGCAAAGTTAAAAACAGAAAAGACCCCAGGAAATTACTAAAATTCCAGGCCAGGACACATGTATTTTTAGATCCATCAGCATGACCTATGTGACCTTTCCTCACTTGGAACTTGTTAAAGATTCATACATATGGACTGCATGTCACACATCCAATTATAACCAAGTGAATTATGGAAAAGGATATACACAGTTGATATAATTGAGATGGTTCAATTATATCATAATGCCTGTCAATCATATTGCCAATCATGAGTGAAAGACCCAATGGGAGGTACCCTAGGTGAAGTGCACATTTTCAAATCTTTAAACACAACTTATTCCATGTCTACTCATTTCTTCCTGCGGGCTGGTGCCATTTCTGTCCCCACTTGTGCTATTTTTCCTTTCTGCTGGCATGAACCCACTCACTCTGCGCCTATCTTTCCCCATTAGCTTCATGAAATTTAGCTGCATCTTCCTTACTGCTCTGTATATAATGTCCACTTCTTTGTTCGTCATGCACAAAAACCTAAAACCTATCTCTCAAAAACTCATCACCCACATATCAGCCCTGTGGATAAAATTACATTTATGAGTATTGAAATGAACTAAAACTAGATTTTTAAATGATTAAAATGTTCAAGCTCTGGTACACATACAGAAGTTAACACGCAAAAAGTTAAGAATAAATCTTTATGTGCATGGTAACAGTATATTTTAAAGGATTAGAGAAAATATTGGTCTGAAATTCAGAACTTAAAGTTAAGTAAATCTATATTATAATAAATCGACAGTAAACAGATTTCAAACATCTATACCGTAATAAAACAATTACAAGGTATATGGTTCAATCTTTCTGCCTTGAAGTACAAGCAAAGAAATTTCCCCAAACTAAGCTGATCACAAATCCTGAACCATAGAAGAAATACTAAATGGCTGTATGGTATTATCTGGTAAATAGTAACAAAATTAGTAAGATTTCTTAGAAATATCATTCCTAATTTCTGGAGAAATTCCTACTTTAAAAGAATTTTAAGACTAACCATCATGAGGAAGAAGCAACAGAACTCATTAGAAACTTGGAAGACAATCACCAAGGTCTACATATTTGGACAAGCATGTTGGACAAGTGCAAACAAAAACCCAACCATAGGAAGGAAACTTGAAGGAGAAGTCCATCAGATGAAATACACTAATAGAGGTGTTCAGTGATGCATCAGTAATATGGTAAAAGAATCAGGCCTCTAATAAGCATTTCAGCAAGTTTCCTGATATGCCATTTTCAGTCTCTGTGTCCTATAATCTATGTTTTATTTTGCTCCTTAAATTATTTATATGTTGGGTTTCTCATATAAGGAAAACCAATGATAAACATCTTTAAAGCTAAAAGGGAGAGTATAAGAAGGACTACTTATCAACCCTGACAATGCTTTCAATTATGTTTTTAAATGCATTGTTCCCAACTCTTTCAGTATCATTACTAATGTTTTGTAATCTGAAGTTATTAACACAATAGAAAACTTGCTAAAGAACCTCTATATTATATATCCATATATGACTGGATCTTTGAAGACTGATATTACCAGTAGTTGTTTTCTCTACATAATCCAATGGTATTGCTACTATAGCTGTAGAGGCTTCCAGCTCAATTGATCTATAGCACTCAATAGAAAACCACAGGAATCATGAGAAGTCAAGGTAGTAAAATGCTTCAAAGAATTCAAAGAATTCCTTGCTTCTTACTTTTCCTTATGTCTATTTTTTGTCTTCTCCCTTTTAATTTTTTTTTTAACCTCTGTATATAATGTCTTTCTTTTGTCTTTTTAGTTTATCCTCTATTTCTCAGGATTTTTTTTTATCTTTATCTACTTTTATAAACATGTTTCTACTACCCAGTAAGATCACTGTACCACTGCTCTCTTCTTTTTCCCACATCAAAGTGTTTAAAGTTTCAATTTCCCTCTTGCATTCCCCATTCTGAAACTCTATCTTTACTAATATAAGGATAAAGCTTTGTTAATCTTTTCATAGTTAGTAAACACACTCTGTAAAATTACTTTGAATTCTTTTCTACCATTTGCAGATATACAGCATTAACATTTAGTACATGTTAACTATAAGTCATGTTTTAATATTTTACAATGTAATTGCATATTTCCTCTCTAGGATTAAGGGCGGTACACAATTAGTTGTTATGGTATGTTAATGTTCAATTTGTCCTGGACAATAATATTATAGCTAATTTGCTTGATATTAACAGGATCACATAATTGTTGCTATTTCTCTGTAAGCTAACACTCCTATTACCTTTGTGACGTTAAGAATACTGGAGTACATTCACAGAGACCTTGGTATTTGGGTTAACTACACTGCATTCTCCCCTCCCAAGTTAACCAAGGTGGTTGAATCTTGGAGTTATGGCAAAGGATTGTAGTCAGCCCCATGCAAAGTATTATCACTTAACAAAACTGAAGTGATCTCTGCCCAAGCAACAAAGTCCTTAGACTATAAGTATCCACAAAACTCAGCACAAAACAAAACAAAACAAGAAAACAATAGACACATAAGAAGGAAACAAAATCTCTCCCCTAATTCCCAACTCTAAAGAATTCAATCCAGGGGGAACCAAAGGGTACAATGGTGTAAGGAACCTACTTGGAAGGATAACAGAGGATATTAAAAACAGATCGAAGAGGTACTCAGCATGATCAATAATTATAACTCAACAGGTAATGAAATGAATAGCTCAAAAGATGCAGGAGCTGTCAGAAGATACCAACAAAAAGCTAGATGTACTGACAAGATGATGTAAAACATGAATGACCAATTTACCAGAAAGTTAAGAGTTCAAAGAAAGGGTCTCAATTAAAAATTCAAGGGATTAAATACAGAATCATATGTCAGCAGCAAAAGTGACCAACACGAAGAAAGAACTTCGAAAGTAGAAAACAATGCCTTCAAAGACAAACTATTCAAACACACATTAAAACAAGAGAACACGAAAAATGGATCCAATAGCTACTAGATGACTCAAAGACTAATCTAACAATAACTGGAATAAGCAAAAAATCAGAGGACAACACAAATCCCATTAAAAAAGTTCATAGAAATAATAGTAGAAAACTTAGAAAATATAGGGAAAGAAATAAACATGCAAATGACACATACAAAACACCAAATAGCCAGGAACAAAAGA